TGCCAAGTTTATTAAAGACATTGTTATGAAAAAACGGAAGGTAGAGCGCATTGCCACGACAACAGAAATCTGTTTAGTAGTGAGCACACTCCCACCAAAGCAAAAAGACCATGGCAACTTTATAATACCATGCTCTATTGGTAGTAACTTCATAGGACGAGCTCTAGTTGATTTGAGATCAAGTGTGAACTTGATACCAAAGTCCATATTTATGAAACTAGACGGGTATCACGCCTGCCCAACCTCAGTCATCTTATAACTAGCTGATCGATCATACGTGCGGTCAGAGGGCAGAAAAGAGGATGCCATCGTAAAGGTGGATAAATTTTTCTTTCCAGTTGATTTTCTTATCGTGGATTACGAAGCCGATGAAAATGCCCCGATCATCATAGGACGACCATTCTTAGCCACTGGGAGAATCCTAATAGCTTGCGAAAAGGGAGAGTTCACAATGCGAGTAGGAGAGCAAAGTGTCACCATCAATGTATTCAACTCTATGAAATATGTGGACGATTCAGAAAAGTGCCAATGCATTAGAGAAGTCGAGGAGAAGATAATCCTAGGACAAGGTGAATCTCTACGACTCGATGATTATAGTGATTTGTATCACGACCCTATAACCGAGATGCACGAACAAGATACATTTGGTCCAAGCAAATTAAACTCAGAAGAAGATTCAGAAATTCATGGCCCTGATAACAAAAATCTGAACAATGAACGCCCTACAATTGACACCAATGCACGATACGGAAGAGAGACAAAGGATGAATCGAGACTTCTTCATAATAGATCATGTATGAAATTTGAACCCTTAGAATATGATGAAGTAAAGTCTCAAGAGACATCCTTGCAACAAGCAGTGAAACTGGATCTTAAACCTTTGCCATCACATTTGAAATATGCTTATCTAGGAGTTGATGAAACTCTACCAGTGATAATTTCTGCCAACCTAACCTCCGAACAGGAGAATTGTTTGTTGAATTTTTTTTCATAGCACAAAAAAACTCTTAGATGGACAATGACAGACTTGAAGGGAATCAATATGACTATATGCATGCACAAAATCAACCTTGAAGATAGCCATAGCACTTCGGTGGAACCTTAAAGAAGTCTTAATCCAATCATGAAGAAGGTAGTCATGAAGGAAATTATAAAATGGTTGGACGCGGAAGTAATATATCCTATATCCGATAGATCATGGGTTAGCCCAGTGCACTATGTGACAAAGAAGGGTGGTGTGACTGTGATTAAAAGCGAACATGACGAACTCCTCACCACAAGAACAGTCACAGGTTGGCGCATATGCATGGATTACAGGAAGCTCAAAGAAGCCACAAAGAAAAACTATTTCCCCCTTCTTTTCATCGACCAAATACTTGATAGGTTGGCAGGAAAGGCATTTTACTGCTTTCTCGATGGATATTCAAGGTATAACCAAATAGCCATAGCACCGGAGGATCAAGAGAAAACAACTTTCACATACCCGTATGGCACCTATACATTTAGAAGAATGTCGTTTGGATTGTGTAACGCTCCAACTACATTCCAAATATGCATGATGGCAATATTTTTAGATATGGTGGAAGAATGCATGAAAATATTTATGGATGATTTCTCTGTCTCTGGTGTTGATTTTGAACGATGCCTCAGCAATTTATCTAAGGTACTGAAACGATGTGAAGAAGCCAACCTAGTGTTGAATTGGAAGAAATGTCATTTTATGGTGACCGAAGGAATAGTGTTGGGTCACAAAATTTCATGTCAAGGCATTGAAGTCGATAAAGCCAAGGTGAACATAATTGCAAACCTACCCCCACCCACTAGTGTGCGAGGTGTACGAAGCTTCCTTGGACATGCAGGCTTCTACAGGCGGTTCATAAAAGATTTTTCTCAAATCTCTAAACCCTTATGTCTTTTGCTTCAACAAAATCATCCATTTGAATTTACTAATGATTGTTTGAATGCCTTCACAGATTTGAAGAAAAAGCTTTCGACAACACCAATCGTTATCCCGTCAGATTAGAATGAACCATTTGAACTCATGTGCGATGCCAATGACTATGCAGTCGGAGCACTGCTAGGGCAACAAAAAAATAAAATTTTCATGTCATATACTATGCAAGTCGTACTCTTAATGATGCACAAGTTAACTATACCACTACTGAAAATGATCTCTTAGTAGTAGTATTTGCATTCGATAAGTTTAGGCAATACCTAATAGGCACTAAGGTAATTGTGTATACAGATCACTCGGTCATTAAATAAATGATTAATAAAAAAGATGCAAAGCCTAGACTAATTCGATGGATATTATTACTACGATAGTTTGATTTAGAGAATAAGGATAGAAAAGGTATCGAGAATCAAGTGGTAGACCATTTGTCTAGGCTAGATAAAAAAACCTGATTGTCTTGACACAACAGAAATTAAAGAGGATTTCCCTGATGAGAAAATATTATTTTTCAGGGTTGCATCGTGGTATGTTGTCATTGTTAACTTTCTTGTTAGTGGTATTGTTCCTCCTAATTTATCTAGACAGGGCAGAAAGAAGTTTCAACATGATGTACGACATTACTACTGGGATGAACCGTTTCTATTCAAGAAATGTCGGAGACCAAATAATTCGAAGATGCATTCCAGAAGAAGAACATAAATATATTCTACACCAGTGCCACTCGTCACCATATGGAGGGCATTTTGGTGGAATGAGAACAGTAACAAAGGTGCTCCAATCTGGATTTTATTGGCCAACCTTATTCAAGGATGCACATGAATTTTATAAGTCATGTGATATATGCCAGCGAACAGGAAACATATAAAAAAGGCACGAGATGCCATGGCAAAATATTCTGGAAATTAAACTCTTCGATGTATGGGGAATATACTTTATGTGACCCTTTCCCACATCTTTTGGAGATTTGTACATCCTATTGGCAGTATATTATGTATCAAAATGGGTTGAAGCCATTGCTACACCTAAAAATGATTCCAAAACGGTGTTAAAATTTTTGTACAAAAATATATTCACCCGATTTGGAACACCACAAGCTATCATCATCGATGAAGGCACTCATTTTGATAATAAATTGATTGCTAAGGCACTGAAGCGATATGGAGTAGACATAGGATTGCTATGGCGTATCACCCTCAAACGAATGGACAAGTTGAAGTATCTAACTGGGAAATTAAATAGATTCTTTAGAAAGTGGTCAACCCAAATCGAAAGGACTGGTCGCCGAAGCTAGATGAAGCACTATGGGCTTATCGCACAGAATTCAAGACACCATTGGGAATGTCACCATTGAAACTGGTCTATGGAAAGGAATGCCATCTGCCGGTTAAACTCGAACATAAAGCCTACTGGGCCATTAAAAAGCTAAACATGGATGCACAGCTTACTGGAGAAAGAAGACTCTTGGAACTGAACGAGATGGATGAATTCAGAGCACACGCATACGAGAATGCCCGCCTATACAAGGAGAAAACTAAACAATGGCATGACAGAAACCTACTGTCGAGGCAATTTTATTCTGGACAACAAGTAATGCTCTTTAATTCACGTCTTAAGTTATTCCCAAGCAAGTTAAAATCACGATGGTCCAGACCATTCATTGTACACCAAGTCTATGGCAATAGAGCAATTGAAATCCAGAACCAAAACGATGGTTCCATCTTTAAGGTGAATGAGCAGAGACTCAAGGAGTACAAAAGAGCCCCAGTCATGCGTGACAAACTGGTATCGTTGGCACATGATGCCCAAGAGTTTGCTTTACTTTCTTGAACAAAATTTTGTTTCCTAGGCAACGGAAATTTGAATTTTGTACATAAAAAAGTAAGTTATTTTCTACTTTCATTATTCGTTTTATTTTATTTTCTTTATTTATTGTAGGTAAGCAAATAACACATGGCTGCTTGGGGAATAAGAGCATGCATGAGAAGAGAAGAAATCATAGGACACATGGATTTGACGGTATAATAAAGAGGGAAAGATATCTTTCCCCCCCCCCTCTTTATGTCCAATCATATATTTCTCATTAATGTACAAATCTTTTCCCTCCAAGAAAGGACAAAACTACCCCGAAACCACCCATTACTTTCCAAATAAATAAACTGCTCAACTTCTTCTTCTTCATCGTACCTCAAGTTGTCATCACTAAGAAAGAAATTATTTCTCTCCCCATCGTCACCACTGATATCAACCAAGAACAATGGTAAGAACAAGGAAAGCCCCAGCCCCAACATAGAGTTTCGAAAGCTTCCAAATAGCCGAAGCAGAAGCACGCTTCAAAATGTTTCAGAAACGTCAAGTCTATTTGGAAGATGGATTTGTCTTTCCCTCCAAGGAAGATGAGCCGTTTGGACCAGAGGTGATGGACGTGATAAAGAAACACAACAGGGAGAAGTTTACTCGTAATCCCAAAGTCGTAGCACCGGCGATGGTACGAGAATTCTACGCCCATCTCGAGGACCCGTCTATCCACACAGTTTATGTTCGAGGAAAGCTCATTAGATTTTCACCCTCTGCACTCACCCGATACTTTAAGTTGGGAAAAGTGGAGGAGTAGCACAAGCAATTTATGGTTGAGGCCGATCAAGAAACGTATGACGACGTACTACAAGATTTATGCTTTGGGTGGGCCAAGTTCGAAGGGAATGCCCCAACGAGGAAAAAGTAGATCACCGAGCACTAAAATCGCACGTGAAGTTGTGGAACCACTTTCTCAAAGGTAAGCTGATGCCAACGTCCCATAACACCATGGTCCTCATGAAGAGACTGATGCTCTTGCACTCGATCATGTACGAGAGGAAGATCGATGTTGGAGAACTCATTTTTTAGCAGATCCATGAATGTACCAAAATGAACTGGGGTAACCTTCTGTTTCCCAACTTGATAACCGTATTATGCAATAAAAAGAAGGTTCTTGATAAGCCCTTCGAGGATTTCATTAAACCCAAGGAGGGTATTACCAAAAAAAAGGTCCCCAAGTTGACGAGTTTCAATGACGACGACCCAAAAGAAGGTTTGGAGCGAGGACCCAGAATTTCCCCCAGAAGTACCTGTTGATGTACCACCACTAGAAACTCAAGTACCACCCGTACCAGAGGAAGTCCAAGGTGACACAGAAGAATTCTTTAGCTCATCCTCCTTTTCAACATCCGAAAGCAGTGATAATACTCCACCCCACTTCTTCACCGATTAAGATTTTACTCCAGCACTGCTGCAACCTACGCAAGATCCTATTTCATCCCCTGTCAGTCAAGCTACACCAGTCCCAGCAGCAGTTCCTAGTCCAGCACCAGTTCCAGCACAACTAACTCCTACTGCCGAGCAGTCAACTACAACACGAGCCTCGTCCAGCAAGAAGCGCTACAAGAAAACCGCAAGCCGTATACTTCAGTCATCTCCCTCGCCAGCAGCAGTAGACTTGGGATCCAATAGTCCCTCTCATCCCAAATGACGTCGAACGAGGGCGTCCATCCAAGTCACCCCACCACAATGAGTTTATATTTTTTTTTTTTACTTTTTTCTTTTTCGCATCTGCAAATAGATTTATGTAGTTTTAATTTCATGCATTGAGGATAATGCATCCCTCAAGTTTTGGGGAGGTATTATACCATATTCTGCCATACTTTGTTAGAAAGTAGTTGATGATAATCGGTTGAAAATTTTGATTGCCATGACATAAGCAGGTTAGGGTTATTGTTAGGAATGAATTAGGGATGCCCAATGATGATTGCATAATTTGATTGCCTAGGCCAGAATTATTGTTAAGACTGTCTAAAGAAGAGAACCAACCTTAGGCATGATTCTTTGAAGTTCATAAACATGAATGTAAGCTATCTTTGTTTCAAGTAATATGTAAAATTTTTGGAAAAGAACTTTCTTGCGGAGACTTCAAAAATATTTTAAGGGTGAAGTAAAAACTCTCTAGTGTTTGAAAACTTGAAAAATAAGAAGGGACACTCCTTTGTGCAAAGGCATAAACATAAAAACTCCATAAGAAATAAAGAGTAGCCACGACATTTGAGTGAATGAAAGTAGTCACATGATGACTCTGCCCGACTAGCTTGAGGGTGGAAGGTATGCTCCCTTTTACCTATAGTGTGGAACGGTAGTTGTGATGAGCTAACTCCCCTGCGAAAAAAAGTTGATAAATAAATAGGAGTATAAACTAAGCCTGACAAATAATTTGTTGCCTTGATAAACCAGAAGTACTTACTTAAGTTTTCTAATTACCTTTATGCAAAGACCGGTTACAATCACGCACACACTATAGCAAATAATCCTGACTAGGGATGGGACTTGACTTACATGACTGTCAAACATGTTAAGGACAAACAATTTTTGTTGAGGGTTGAAATCTCAAACCATATGATTTTCTTAACTCTGCTTTGCCATGACAATTTTGATTTTCTTCTAGCTATTGTACATTGCTTGAGGACAAGCAATAGCTTAAGTTTGGGGGTGTGATAACTCCGTAAAAAGACTTAATTTCTATTTTTTTTCACTTAAGTTATCGCTCGTCTAAACAAAGTATGCATAGAATTTTAGTTGTATTTAGTTGCATATAGGTTACATTAGCTTGTGGTGGATAAATTTTGCTTAGGTAAGATTTATTTGGTTTGACTGATGCTGCTGAGGAGAAAGGGTTGTTTGGATTGTGTTTGTGAAGGAAACTTACAGTGGAAGAACATTTCAGTTTTGACAACATAAATTTGCAAAGGCCAATGGAACAGATGAAAATGTGAGGAGAAGATTTATCTCGCCGAGGTAAGGTTTATCTGAGGAAGTCTGAAGCAGATGTGACGAAACCGCCTATGTCACAAGCCAACTGGATGACCTACTTCATGTGCAAGGAAGCCTTAATTATTCTGACAACCGTCTTTCCTTTTTTTAAGTCTGGACATTTATTTGACAACGGTTATTTAAGGAAACTCCAAAAAGCATGCAAAACCCTAGGAGATTTTTCCTTATAAATAACCAGCTGTAGCCGCCAAAGAAGAAGGGGAAAAGAAATAAGAGAGAAGAACTTTACCCAAGGCATGAGCAAGCAACTACAATACTTCTTCACCATCTACCCACCGACCTTCCTTGGTGTCCTCCATAACCAGACGTTAGCAGAGCAGTAATCAGGGCTCGAGAGAGGGTGGTCACCAAGGCAGGCATAATGTTAATCATAATCGTCGTGACAGAGCCCCCGGTTTTGGGAGTCGTTCTTTTTAACTCTTTATCTATTTAGGGTTGTACTAAATGTTGAATTTTGGATGATCTTTGATAGCACCATGAATGTCTTACTTGGTGTTAAACTTTGTGTTTCCTGAACAATATTTTTATGTTTTATGAATGATGAATTATGTTTTGCTTATGACTATTTTGCTTACTGTTTAAATATTTTTCTTTAATACTGTAAGAGCATCGAGAAATCGCCTGGGGTTTTGGTAAAACATGTATGGGCATTGTAAGAGCATCAAGAGATAGCCTTTTTTCTAGATAGTGATTCTTATATTCGAGAGAATTAAGATAGATCGACGTAAGCAATAGAATGAATCTGGGATGGTGAAGTTCTAACTTGTATACCTTAAAGATAAGGAGCAGTTTCAATCGACTAAAATGGATAGATGCTAGAGTAGGATAGACAATGCATATAGTTTACGTTGAGAGGTATTTCTACAACAACGGATTGTAGTTAACGCTAAGGAGTATTGCCATAGCAATCGTCTAAGAATACCTAGTAATCCTGTCGGGCAACTTGAGCGAGTCATAATAATTCATTCTAGAATTAGAAATAATTGTTGACAATGCAAGGATTTAGCATCAGTGCTCTGTGATATGTCTGATTATGTAAGGTTGTTTGCATTCGATTTAAATTAACACTTATCTTGTTTTATTTACTTTAGCATTTTGCATATTTATTTTGTCTCGACCAAACTTTCTTGCACTCATTAAATCACCTTTTTGTTTTATTAATATAAGTTATTAAGTTGACAACTTAGTAGGACTTAGTTTGTGACATTAGTTCTAGTAGTGGTGAAAATATATTTCTCGTCCAATCCATGTGGAGACGATACTCACTTACCATATATTACTTGAATCGATTGTGAATACTTGCACAGATTTACTTGACTTAACATATACATTTACAAGCGATCAAGAGGGATATGTTCCACTTCTTTGAAAGGGAATATCAGATCTGGAAAAGTTGATCCATTGAATCGAGATCGAACCTGAAAATTAAACATTAACCTTTGTTAATATGCGTTTGAGGATTAGAAAACATCATACCTTAAAGTCTCGGGATGATAATTTTTGAAAGAGATTTCTCTTGCAGAAGTTTGTCTTGCCACGACCAAACATGGAAATTCGACTTAGTTATTTCTATGTAGGGTCTTTACATCTCTGTGGCTTTTTTTAAGAGAACCTGCAAGCACTCATTATTATGCATTTTATGTCATTATCCTATTTATGCCTAAAATGTGTGCAATGATGAAATTATTTTGAGGGTATTTTCTTTTCAAACGAGAGTTTTATTTTGTTAACAGCCTTGTACTTCAATCTGATTTGGGCATGAAAAATCAACAACAATTCATCTCGATCGACAACCCTAGTTGGACACTCTTTGGTTGAGCCTGACTCTGATTCTCTTTACTCTTTGAACCCATGTGCTTTTCATGACCCACTATTTAATCAGTGAAAAAACCTCTTGGGTTATCCCACATTGTTGAGCATTCGCGTGTATCCCAAGGCTTTAACTTCTTGTGGCTTAACATTGCGTAAGCCTTATGCTAAAACTATTTTCGGCTTTGTAATTTCTGCATTTTCCAAAACTTTTTTTGTACAATAATGCACAATGATCTCATGTTTCCCGACCTAATCGACATGTTTTTATTTTTAATCAGTATGCTTGCAACGCGGTTAAAAAATCTTTTTATTTATAAATAAGGAGTTTTTTTTGTGAATACATGGCAAACTTTTAATTGGAATAATTAAAAGAAAATATAGTAGGCGTAATCAGACATAAATAGTACGAATGCTTTTGAATTGGCACGCCGTAAGAAGACCCGAGTGTAGCTTCTGTCAAGGGGATCTTGAGGATTGCGGTAATGCGTAAGGGTGTGAAGTTCCCCCTGTACTGCCAAATTCCCGACTGTTGATTATCATAAGCCAGTGTTTGAGTGTCATTTACTTTCTTGTTACCCAAGCTTTTCGATTTCCAACCCTATTCCTGACTACCATTTCAAGTCTTCAAAACTAATTTAGAAACTCCAACATACACGAATTCTGAATTCACACAATTCTCAAGACGCCCTTTACGGGTTTTCAACCTGAGACCTTCTCTGATTTCAAGACGCCCTTTACGGGTTTTTATCTTGAACCCTCCTTTTATTTTTTTTTTCTTTTCTTTTTTCTCATTTTTTTCTTTCTTTTTCTTTTCTTTTTCATTTTTTAGTCTTTTTCATTTTCATTTTCTTTTTTAGGTGAAATACTTCTTTACTGCATCAGCATTCACAGGGTTAGGTAACTTTGGTCCATCCATCTCGGTAAGGATCAAAGCTCCTCCAGAAAAGGCCTTCTTTACTACATAAGATCATTCCCAATTTGGCATCCATTTACCTCGAAAGTCTTTCTGAATTGAAAAACTCTTTCTTAGCACTAGGTCTCCTTCTTGAAACTCTCGTGGGCGAACCTTTTTGTTAAGTGCCCTTATCATACGTTTCTGGTACATTTGCCTGTGGCATATATCTTCTAATCTTTTTTCCTCAATCAGATTCAACTGATCATACCTAGCTTGTACCCATTCTGATTCATCTAGCTTAACCTCTGATAGTACTCGTAGTGACGGAATCTCAACCTCGATGGGTAACACAGCCTCCATCCCATAAACTAAAGAAAACAGAGTTGCCCAGTGGACGTCCTCACTGAAGTTTGATAGGTAAATAGACCAAATGGTAGCTTCTCATGCCAGTCTCTATAAGTCTCAGTCATTTTCTGTATGAGCCTTTTGATGTTCTTATTGGTTTCCTCTACCGCTCCATTCATCTTTGGGCGATAAGTGGTGGAATTATGATGTTTAATCTGGAACTATTGACATACTGACTCCATCATCTTATTGCTTAAATTCAAGGCATTATCGGTAACGATCCTTTCTGGTAGCCCATACCGACAAATAATATCTCTTTTCAAGAACTTACAAACTATTGACTGAGTGATATTTGCATAGGAGGCCACTTCTACCCACTTAGTGAAGTAGTATATTGCCACGAATATGAAACGATAGCCATTAGAAACTTTGGGTGAAATTTACCCTATGACATCCATGCCCCACATAGAGAATGGCCACAGAGCAGTCATTACATGTAATGGATGAGGAGGGGTGTGGAGCTTATCTCCATAAATATGGCATTTGTGAAATTTTTTAGAGAAATTGATACAATCAACCAATAATGCCCAAATTTCATT